CTAAAATTAAGGAACGCTCGACCTCGACACGTGATATCGAAATGAGCGAAATCGCCTCTTGATATCACTAACTATCTTGAATCTTTAATCTTGAATCCCGTGGGTGATGGGAACGACGAACACATCTCAGTACAACTAAGAAGTCAGAGCTTTGATGAGAAGTGAAGCGTAGAAAATTGGTGTCGTACTGTAGCAGTTACCGAGACTGTGCAAAGATGGCGCCAGTGCACTCTCAACTCAGATTGACCACAGCAGGATCAAATGTCAACGGTTTTGCGATTTAAAAACAAATTCTAACAGAGGAAATTCATGTCTTTCGAATGATTTATCACACACGAATTTGGGTTCAAAATGAATATGAAAGGTTACTCTGGTCAGGTCAAAGGTCAACTCAGAAACTATTTGAAAGTGGAATGTATAAGCTTTAACATGTTATGCTTACATTTCAAATATTTTCGGCAGTTCCGGAAATTCTGAAGTTCATATGAACTACAAAGATAAAAGTGCACTGTTTTTGTAGCAGTGGGGATGAACATGCGGCGGCTGAAGGTCACATGCCGTCCAAGTCCGAGTGCGCGGCAACGCAGTTTTTGCTTTTGTCCATATGAGTTTCCGAATTTAAACTGTCGAGTACATTTTTAATATAAATAGAGCATTTAAAATCTTATACAGTACAGTACTCTTTCAATGCCCCAAACCGCATTAAAATATATGCCGTGAGTGAAGTGTAGGGTATCGTTGAAAATTGTCCGTTATTTTTTGGCCTCCCTGCTTTACATACATTCAAAAGTCACTTGAATTCTTTTTTTTTTGTGCCGTATATTGTGTCACTCGATCTGTTTGCTTCTCCTGAGTAGTTTGGTGTAATATAGGTTTTCCCGACGAATTTCGGCAAAAGTCCATTCAAATTCGGCAGCGGCCGTTTCAATTTCGGCAGTGCTCCCCTCTCCTCCCAGTTATCCCATTCAATTTCGGAAGGTGACTTTCGATTTCGGCATTCGCCGTTTCCCTATGGGGAATAGGGAAGGAAAGGGGCACAAACGCATAGGGTACTTTCGGCGAATGACCATTATTTTATTATACAAAGGAAAACACATGGACATTGACACTGATTCTATCTATCGATATGTTCTCTTCTTTTGGCATCTAATCAAGTATGTTGGGAAAACCACACAAAGCACTTCTATTTTCTTCTATTTGATGCCTCTCCTATTTCGAGCAGTTTCTCTGTCCGACTTTGCTGCAAATTGTGTGCAAGTCGTCTAAGTTCTACTTGTGTTTCAGGAAGATACACCTCACGTTTGACAGCTGCCTTAAATGCAAAGTGGGCATGTTCTGTCGGATTCAAGAAAGGAAAATATGTTTGCAGAAACTTCACGGGAACGCGAGGAAAGTCATCTGGGGGCGAGGCTCGTTTGTGGGGTCGAGTATTGTCCATGATGACATAAACTAGTTGATCTGGTAGCGAAATGATGTGTACATGTCTCAGGAGCTCCTCAAAGAACTCCTGGAACGACAACGATGTGACGCGTTCCTGTTATTTTTACGCTGTAACAGATTATTCCAAGCATGGAAACGAACATGAACCTACGTGGAGGACTCACAGAAAGGAGCAGCCGATTTCGAATATTCAGTTCCAGTTTGTCATCTTACACAATGTGAACGAGCCTTGATCCCAGATGGCTTTCCTAACGTTCACTGGAAGTTTCTGGCGGCATGTTGGCCTTTCTTGAATCCGACAGAACGTGCCCAAATCATCCATCAGAAATGCTTTGCGTGGTATCGCCATGCACAGATATACTTGATCAGATGTCTAAAGAGAGGACTTATCGATGGGTAGAATCAGTGTCAATGTCCATGTGTTTTTCTTTGCATAATAAAATAATTATTTGTTTTAAGCAAATTCCCTATGCGTTTGTGCCCTTTCCTGCCCAATTCCTCATACTCATTAATTCCCCAAAAAAGAGATTCCCTTGCACTGCCAAAATGGAAAGTTACCTGCCGAAATTGAAACGGCCACTGCCGAATTTGAATGGACTTTTGCCGAACTTCCGTCGGGAAAACCTCTATTTGAGGCGAAAGATACTTCAGCAGAAACGACGGGAATAGAGTTGTAATTAGGACGTTTCTTGACTCCTGGGAACTTCTACGCCAAATCGATCCAAGCGTGAGCTCGGCCATCTTCGATTCTGATAAAAATCGGTATGCATGTAGAGGAATTGATTTAAAGAAAATAAATTTCCACAATATTTTTATTATCTCGCACTGATCTCCAGATACATGGGTCGCCCTCTACGGTCGCTACCCAGCAGCCTTGGTCTCAGGGAAGGAAAGGAAACACGGAGAAGCATGATGAGGAATTATGATAGTATCGGTTATGCCAGATTCATGCAATATTTCGCGTAACATCGACCAGCGGTTGCGACAGCTTTTTCCTCCTTGCCAAGTTCCCATTTTTCCTCTTCTACACTTTTAGAAAATTCCTAGCGTTTGGGGAGTAAAAAGTGAGCACCCCATGAGCTTTTCGAATTTTTTTTACTTTACTCTCTTATTACTCACCGAATGCTCCCTCACCGCTCGTATTAAAGTGAACACCTTGAAGTTCTACGCCAGGCCACTAGATGGAGGTTAGGGTCTCGCTTTTCGCACAGTACACAAAAGTTCTCTTCCCTCTTTCCCTGGAATCGTCCCTCGCAGGATTGTTTAGTACCTTGCCATATGTCTCGCCTAGTCTCATTATAGGAAGCAATAAACACGGACAATTTTCAACGATACCCTACACTTCACTCACGGCATATATTTTAATGCGGTTTGGGGCATTGAAAGAGTACTGTACTGTATAAGATTTTAAATGCTCTATTTATATTAAAAAATAAACACGGATACTTCATCATTTGTTATCCACATATTCAAGACATATTCATAGAGTCCAGGCCATAAACAAGCTCATATTCCTATTGAGAACCCTTTTGGGAGATGTATGATTTTATTCGCATAGGAGGTCTAGAATAAATTATGTCCGTGTACTTCATTCAAGCAAACCTCAATTAAATGAGGTAATAAGGAACTGATATCTCGGACACTCTATGAAACCTATAAGAGGTGATCCTCCCTCTGACCTGTGCTGTTATCAGTACTGTCAAAGGTCATCGCCTGTCCGATAGCGAAAGCGACACACATTATACTAAGTATATGAGAATTTTCGTATTTGCATGACATCTCTATCACTTTCTGATGGGAGCGTTTTTACTCACGGAGGAGGAGAGCAATTTTACTCCTTGGTGATGGAGCAAATTCGCTCCTTTCCCAGAGTGAAAGGGGGGTGAAACTGGAGTTAGCTATTTTACTCTCTTTTTTGAGAAAAATCGCTCCCCTTTTTCTAAGAGTGCACCTCCCGTTTTCCTTTCTCTACGTGACTGGATAACGTGAGGCTGGGGCCAAACCCAAGGACCGTGTTCAGGTCCTGCTTTGACAGACCTTTCTTCTTACAGAAGAATCCAAAACCCTCGAGTTAGCAGACCGATTAGGCCTGTTGGAGTAGTGCGAAAGCCACATTTCAAAAGCTTCTCACCTTTCCTCAACTTCCTCCCTCCTCCCCAACCTCTCTATGGGACTCACTAACGAAAGAGCTGGATTAAGCTTAGGCCTAATCCAACTCTTTCAGACAATATACCCTCGCTTAGACATCATTAGTCCACCTTCATATAATTGAAGGGTTCGTCACATATGACATTGGAGACTGGGAATAAACAATCATTTCCAAAATTCCCGGTGTTACATTTTTTGACAAGTTCAAGCAAGAGTTATCCTTTATAATTAGATCCCTAAACCTTAAATATCCTTATTTCGATACCAGATACACTGTAATGTGATAATGAGTTAGCCCCTATGCAATGTTGGAATAGACATTTCCAAATTTGACCGTCCTTCTCGAACAAGTAATGCATGACGAAAAAGCGAGGGCTTACGCTGTTGAATAATTTCTTGGTGCCGTCCTGGTTCCAGTTGCGAGAGGAAAAAAGAGTTTTCCTACAAAACGTAAACGTTGATGAGTAAAGGTACAGATTACTCATGAGAATTGATTCTATTGAAATCAAAGGAAATATAATCAAGATGGAGGAAGTGACACGAAAACATCGAAGATGCCCAGATGATGTGTACTTGCAGAAGCATAATACAGCAAAGGAAGATTGTGCCAACAACTGTTTGGGGAAAACCCGTGCATTTTCATTGCCTCTGGTTCCTTCACCGACGTGACATCTTTAGTTGAGGTAGTGGAAAGGGCAGAAAGGGATGCCACAGGTTTCCATGTTCAACAAGGAAGTGTAGCAAAAGGGCTCCCGGTCGATCATTGACGGATTGCGACAGTAGTTGTGTTTCTCGCTTCTCATTTCCTCGGGGAATCTGAGAAATAACATCGCCGACTCGGACACACCCCATAACATACACGGAAGTCCCGACACTGTCCTATTTCGAGTCCCTGCGTACTCCTCTCCCTCATTCGTCCATTTGCATTCCATCTTGTCTGGCGGAGGGAAGAAATAAGATATAGATGATATTTTTATATTGGAACCAATGAGGTACGTCAACTGTTGCTCGATTCCACTTAAGATGTACCAACGCAGGTCGTCCCACTTGAAAGTAGCGTGGAATGTCATCTCTGCATATAATTGAACAAGTGGTAACATGCTACATCAGATGTTGGAAATTGCCCCTGTTGACATGGATACATCTCTGCGTCCTCTCCAGCATATTCATGAACATAGTCCATAGTTTTCCCGGAATAATTAATGCACGATATTTCCCGCCACTTCGCCGCTAGCTTCTGCATGCCACGTTTAGCTGGCACTTCAGAATACTTCTCTTTAAACTTTAAAAAAAAATGTTAAGATTTGCATTCAATGCAATATTCTGCAGTTAAACATTCAAAATCCGCTGCTGTAACGGAAATAACATTACTCTCAAAATAGCCGACTCCGCTTTGAGAAACACAAGATCGAACTATTCTGGAAACTCGCAGCTGGAATAACCCCTACCACTCAACCTGCCACCTAATCACATGAGTCATGACCGCATGAGTCTTTGAGTCTTTCCTGCGGTACCACAAAAGACAATTGTGACTATGGCGAAAGACAGCCTCCAACAGGAAACGACATGGAATGAATTGCTGGGCCACTTTCAAGTGAGACACCCTGTAGGAGACTCATGCAGCACTAGGGGGAAACAATTCAAAGAGAAAATCTCCAATACTAATTGCTTTTAAGCAAAAAAGAACATTTCTTTTGATTCAATGGAAGGAATCGGTTATTCACTAACATTGACAGGATAGTAACATCGGGAGGAAACGTTTCCTCAGTCACGATTCGCCTCATCGCGAGTCGAATTTTGGAAACCATGAGGGCAGCGACTGATGAACTTAGCAATATCCCAGGTAAGTTTTCCTTCTGCAGTTCAATGCTGTTTTGCTGTCAATGTCGAGAGTCTCATACGTTGGTCGATTTTAAAGCATTTTTTGCCATCTTAAAAACTCTCTCGGACATCATCTCTCTTGGACAGGACATCTACTTGCACCGAGTGTCGCTATTCTTAAATTTTACATTTGAAGCCCAACAAGACTTGAATTGGAGTGAGCTCACTGGGGTAGTTAGGGCAAAAGGGAATTTGGCAGAATTCCCATTCGATGCCTGGATCTTGGACGAAGCACCAGTGTTGCTGCCTGGACGTCGGGTTCCTGCAGAAATCCTGATGTAACGTAGAATTGCCAAATCGGAAATGAGCCTCATAATGTTCCTCATGATATTCATCCAAGACGAAGTCCTCAGGAATCCCATAAGGCTTGGAATCCCATCGGAGACAGGGCTTTCCAGTCTTCGTTATCCTCGTCGTTCCTATGTATTCTTTCCCCATTGCGGTCTGCAAGCATTCTGGGTATCCTTCTGCTGGTTTACCTGACAGAATTTTCCCAATTAAAACTATGAGACATGTGAAATCACCCGTTCACAAGGCCTAAAGGGCTTCACGTTATCCTAAGAACTGCATTATGAAGATTAGTCAGTGAAATATTTTCGTTTTGGAACACTTGCCAATTTTGTGGGATACATGATTTTAGCACATCTGCTCGGTTCTTCGCTTGCGAAACGCTCACGTTAGATAAAGGTTGCGAAAATCTATGCGCGAATAAACCCCTTGGCATACCTTCGACGGCGATGCGTTCATACAATTGATAGCAGAAAGGGACCATGCAATGTCCCCATCTTTCGTCATTTCCCTCTTCTATGAAGCACCAGGGACCGTTGCTGTCTGCGTCAGGGTTACGACAATAGTTGTGACTACTGTCTATGCCTTCATCGGAGATTGTCATGATGTTCATGACTGAAAATCGCTTGTCATTTGCCCGACCCAACCAGGGCTGACACTTCCGACCGTCCGCATCAGTGTTCTTGAATCCCGCATTCTCCAGGCCCTCCGTAGTCAATCGGCATTCCAGGGGCTCTGAGCATAAAAATTACAAATTTCCTTTTCTGATATTGTCAAAGATGAGAAATATCCTAGGAGAATTTGATACAGCTCGATTTTAAGCACTCATATGTTTCATTCCGATCGACCCCATGAATTCCTTTTTTTTTTTCTTAAATGTCACGTTGGGTTCATTACAAAATTAGAAACTATTGAACGATTACTTATTCGTGAGCCTATAGATAATTTCAGTATTGGTTAGGAGTCAGTCCTCTCGGAAAGTCCCTTCCTCCGCGTTGCTTTAAGCATTCCATTTGAAGCACTCGAGGAATCGCAGACCTTTGGGGTGTTGGCAGTAGGGGATGTCGCAATATTCCCAGCCGAAAGGCTCGAAAGAGACAATGCACCATGGCCGCGCGGCCCTCCCAGGATTCCAGCAATAGTTTGCGTCTTGATTCCTAATCACTGGAAGTATCAGCTCTTGGAGAATCTCTTAAAATTGGTCCCGTTCGTGTTGAGGGCGAGTTAAGAGGAGATTCTGCAGATCCTTGTTTTGGATGTATATCGGTGGTATCTCTATCCATAATTGGCATTTCTGTCCTTGTTCAGTTTGGCTGTGGCTTCCTCGGTATTCCTTCCCCATTTGCGTCATTCGGCATTCCGGATGTGTGCGCGAAGTTTCTGCTCCATATACAAAGTTCTCGTGCACTCAGAGAAATCGGTAAATCGAGATGAAATACATCTCTCAATTTTCGCGTTTCGATTTATTTTTCTCAGGAGAAAAAGACATCAACTGGATTTTCGATGTATATCTCTTGCTTCCCGACCGTGCAGGGTCGCCTGAAAGGCGTTCGCAAAACCAAAATGCGTCTATAGCCGAGTCGGAAGGGTGTTTTGATTGGCTGCGCATCGTCTAGACACATGTTAACCTCCGTATTCCACTTCATCGTG